CGCCGTCGCTTCACGGTAAGCACGAACGCACCCTGCGCTTGCGCAGCGCCCAGCCCAGAGGGGACCCCGCTTGTGGCCGGTGTCGACCAAGTAATCAAACGGGAGAGCGGCTGGGCATCCAACGACCTCTTTGCCGCAGACTTGCTTTGGCCCTTCCCTGCTCAGCAATGGATTTTCCATCCCCTGACGTTTGGCAGCTCTGCCTTTCTGGGAGAGAAGCGCTAGTCAAACAAGCTCGTCCGCTTAGCTGGACGGCGTTCAACGACGCGTGTTATCCAGGAAGCCAGACTCCGGGCTCAGACGGTCCCCCTGGCCCTGGAAGAATCCCCGAGCAGGGCGGGCAGGTCGGCCCTTGCTTGCAGCCCAGCACTGGTTTGGAAACCCCCGATGCACCCGGTTCTTTGAAATCCAAAGCAGCCTCCCAGACGCACTGCCTCCTCCCGGGGGTTTGGGAACCTCTGCAAACCCGGGCGCCAGGGAAAGGGGAAATGCTGGACTCTGGCACTGACCTCGCCTGGCTGGTCAGCGCCAGGCTATCACCCAGGCCAGGCCGTAGACGGGCAAAGCCGATGGCACCGAGCTCCTAGAACTGGGCAGACCGCGGTGCAGACGGCAACAGGTCCCTCATTTGTATTTCGCTGACCCTTTGTTACTGGCTCCATTAGGACGGGCTCTGGCCGCCAGCAGCATGGACGCTTTGCTTTACAGAGCGCTCGGGCTCACGCGCAGGGCATGCGTGCGGTCCAAGCCGGTCCAGAGAGTTCAAGTCCACCCGGTGCCCCGTGGCAGCACCCCCACGCTCCCCCATACGGTGATGGCTGCACCGGAGAGCACACGACAGGCAAAGCCAGCCACGAAAGGGCTCCCAGATGCCCAGCCTGGGCCTATACGCGGGCCCTGGGACATAGGTATGGGCAGGACACTGGATTTCCTGAGCAAGGGGGATGGTGCCCCAACTCCGCTCAGCAGAGGGGTGAGGAAGGTGGGCGGCCTTTCTCGAGCCCCATGTTTCTGCCCCGGGCAGGAGGATGCTTTTGGAGCTTAGCGTCAAATGCTGCAGGTTTCCCACCCTGTGCCAGCGCCGCGCCTCTCTCCTTCCCCTGCACGGGCCATCCTGCCCGCTCTCTCGCAAGCACCTGCCAGCTGTCCTGGCTACCCGCAAGCGCCGTCTCTCCGAGCCTTCCCCCAGCGGCCCCTGCCCGAGATCCCGACGGCACCCGGCCAAGCGCTTTGCTTCAGAGTCTGGCTGCGGGTAGAAAAAGCCAGCAAGCCGCCCGAGCCCTGGGTGCACGTTGTAAGCCCCGCGGCCGGGCAGCGGCTGGCCCTTTAAAGTGCAAGGGATGGAAAGAGTTCAGAAGTGCCAGGGAGTAATCTCAGCTTAGTGGGCGCAGAGCAAACAGCCCGGGCGAGGGACCGTGTGTGAGTTTCCACCGCACCAGGCCTGTGAGGAGCATTTCCATGGAGATTAAACCCGAGTGCCAGCGCAGCACAAACAAACCTGCTCACCTTGGAGGCCGGGGATCGTTTGGCACCGAGACAGACCGTGCCCCGGAGATGCAGACAGAAGGGCTGGCACGTACGGCAGAGCAGCTGCCCCGCTGCAGGGCGCACAGTGTCCCCGCGGTCTGCTCGGCCCGGGGCTGGGGCCCAGCTGTGCACCGCAGCCCCCGGTCCCTCACGGCGACAGGCCGAGCTGGAAGAGACAAGCTTCAGTTTCCCGTTTTGCCCCGGGCTGCCCGAGGTAGTGGGTCCTCACAAGTCCAGCACAGCTGAGGATGGGGCCAGCGCCCGCCTGGGAAAGGCTTGGACCTGCCACGAGCCACCTCCCCCCCAGCTTAGCGCGGGGCTTGGCATCCAGTCTCCCCCTGGAGCTGGCCACCCCGGCCCTGAGGAGCCCCCCCCCACACACACAGCTGGCATCTCGGTGGCCTCAGCTGCTGGATGCTGCAGGTCACCTCCGTGCTGGTGCCCGCAGTCCGCTCAGCCTCTCCTTGCGGGCAGGAGGTGCTCGGGGGGCAGCAGGAGGGAGAGGAGACTCCGTCCCATGAGAGGGAAGCAGTACGGGGCTCTGGACATGCGGGTACATGTGCACCACTCCAGCAGCTGGCCCAGAGGAGCCGGTCTCCGTGAGGCAGGAGTGCAGCGGGGCAGTGGGATGCATTTCCCTGCAAGATGCTCAGCATCTCTTAGCCGCAGCGGATGGGCTGCTCCTCTCGCCCCGTCTCGGGGTGGGCTCCCTGAGCCATGCACGTCCCTGGGCACCTGGCCAGGGCTCTGCCTGGCTCCCCTGGCCAGGGTGCAGGTGCAGGGCATGTGCATAGATGGCACATGGATGGCACAACCTCATCTCCGGCTCGGTGCTCCTGCCGGTGACACTACAGGCAGTCATGCTGGGATCAGATATGGAGCCCTTCTAGGAATCAGCCCTCCGGCCACTTGTCTCTCCTCTGTGCTTGTTTCTAATCAGGGGCAATAGAGGCAGGAAGCAGGGGGCAGATGGGCTGAAAGTCAAGGGCGGGGGGTTGTGCCGGCACGTCCCGGGGGAGCTAGGGGCACATGGCCCCAGAGCATCCCATGTCTGCATCTCCTGAAGCAGGGGTCATGACCCCAAATGGGGGGTCAGCACCTGAGGAGCAGGGTCACAAGCCCCAGGGAAATTCTGCGATAGGCTGGGCCAAGGCGGGTGGCTCACCAGAGGCACAGATCAGGAAACCCTGATGGAGGTGCTCGGGAGGTTCGGATGAGGGGGTGACCCTACGTAGCCCCCTAGACATACCTGGGAGCATCTCGGATGAGACGCGCCTTGGAGCAGGCTCTCGGGGAGGTCTCCCTTGTCTGTGCGTACAGCCCCGTGCACTTTGAGGCCCTGGGCTGGCACCCGGAGCCGTTCCAGTTCCCTGCAGTGGAGGCCCGTGGTGTGTGCACAGACAGATGCACGCTGGGGCGATGAGACTGGAAGGGGGTGGGGGGGGTCCGGGGGCCAGGAACTGATGGTTTATTTCAAGGAGCCATTCTGCCCCACGAGTGCCCCCCGGGGGGCAACAAACATGACACTTGGGGGTAACAAACGCGGACAGGGATAAAGATCCCTGGAACACACCTGCCAGGAAAGCCCTCGCACCCAGCCGCGTCCCGAGGCTGCAGCCTGTCGGGGTCAGCCCCCACCCGAGACCTCCTCCACCCCCGGGCTCAGACGGCAGCCGCCGCACACGGGGAAGCAGCCTCGTACAGCTAATTATCTTCATAAACACCTGGGTTCTGCATCCTTCCCGCGGCCCGTGCCAAACACGCCCTGTGGCTCCGGCTCGGCTGTTGGAGCCATTTGTGCCTGCAGCTCCACCAAGCCCTGGCGGGACAGCGTTGGAGCCAGGGAGCCAAGCAGGGACACAGTACCTCCCTCCTTGGTTGGGGGCCACCGGCTACAATGCTCCTCACCCCGAACCCCCCGGCAGAGACCACGTAGACGAAGCCGACTGCTCCCATGGGCCTGCGGCCAGGCCAGGGCTGGGTGACAGTGCATAGGGGGAACGAATGCAGGAGCACGTTGACACTGCTTGCCCGTTCTCTCCCTGCCTCGCGGAGCATCTCTTTAAGAGCCATTTGCACCCTGATCCATGACTGCTGCACATGTGCTCCCTGCCAGCAGCCCTCTGCCAGGGACGGCGCATGGCGGGGCTGGGAAGGGCCTTGACACTTGCTAGGAAGAGCGAGTTCCCATGGACCGGTGCCCGGGGCAGCCGACACTTCTGTGCAGTTCAGCCCCGTGGGAGGGTAATGACGTGCGCTGCTTCTCTGCGGGCAGCTGCCAGAACCGTGCCCCTTTGCAAAGGCCTCATGCAAGAGTCCTCAGCGCGCTCCTCTCTTCATTGCAGTCTCTGGCAAGCGCCGAGCTGGGGGCAGGACTCCTGATGCAAGGGTGGGGGGAGCCCCATTGTTTCACCCTGGGACTCAGTTTCCCCCTCCTGTAGCACAGAGATAAGTAGGACTGACCTGAGATGCCCCCGAGGCTTTGACCAACGAGCTCCCAAGCGGGCAGGGCTGGGGGAGGTACCTACCCCCATGATAGCTCCAGAAGAGACTTACAGCTGCCCCGGACCATTGCTCTGAGCTCTCTGGTACCAGCCCCTGCTTTATTATAAAGCGTGAGGCCAGGAGGCCTTAGACCTATGGGCCCAAGGCCAGGCAACAATGCAGGGGCAACCGATGTCAGCAACGCTGGTGCCAGAGGAGGGCAAACGGATCAGCGCGGTGCCATGGAGAGGATGTAGGATCCGGACTGAGCCTTGGGTGCTGTGTCTGGCTTCCCTCCTGTGTGCAAAACCCAAGACCTCTCTTCCTGCCTCGCCACCGCTGCCGTCTCCCAACCTCCCCTGGCTAGTTGGCTTGGGGTCAGAGACCACTTGGCACATGGGGACCCTGCCCTTGCTCAAGTGCTTTCGGGGCTGCTGACACAAATCATTCAGGGCCCAACCTGCCCAGTCTTCCCTGCAACTGCTGTCACCTCTTTCTGGCCACAGACCCAGCTCAGGCAGCCAGGACTGACCTAGGGCTGCCCCAGGACACGCGGAGGACAATACTTTTCACCCAGGGCCCAGACTGTGAGCAGCAGAGCTGGGCAGGGGCTTCAGCCGCTCAGGAGTGAGTCCCACGTTGGCTGTCATGAAGGCAGGGCTTGGGAAACTGCGGTACCTGGACCCTGACTAGCTTGGGGCTGGCCCTGCACAGCTCGGCTGCCCGCGAGGAGGGAGAGACCGGCGCGCCTGGTTCTCGGCTGTCCGGCTGCATCAATGCTGCTGGGGTGGTGAAGGACGCGCGCCCCGTTCCCAGCTGCAGACACCAGGCCCAGCCACCCAGACTGCACCTTCCCATAGACCAGGGGGACGAAGCGGCCTGCCATGGCCTGGCTGACAGTCCCAGTGCTCCGTCCGGTAGGTGACGGAGAGCAGCTCGTGCCCCAGTTGGGGGTGGAGGGGGGGGGTCCGAGGCCAACGAAAACTGGCTAAAAATTAACATTAATTTATTAGAATATTCATGAAAAAAGATTCTCTTTACATGTGTTTTTTATACAAGAGAGAATTTTCATTGCTTGATTATTCCTCCCGGAAACAGAGCATCATACACAGGCACACGCGCACATGGACAGCCAGGGGACCGCAGGCTCTCGGCCTCTGCTCGTGCCGGCAGCTGCAAAGAGCTCTGCGGTGAATAGAGATATTGCACGATTTGAGTTGGGGGCCGGGCTGCCCCCAGGCCCCTCTGCCCTGTCCCTGTGGACGGCTTGGGCTGCGACGGGCATGTGGGAGGGTGGCTATTCAGAGGGCAGGGTGGATTCGCACACAGAGCAGGCCTGGGCCCGGGCAGAGGCGCCAGGCAGGCTGACAACGTCACAGGCACGCACAGAGCGCTTGCGAAAGGCAGAGAGGCTCAGACGACGCTAGTCACGCAAGCAGACACTGCATGGCAGAAAGGCACAGCATGGGGCAGGGTGGGGGGCACTCTTCAGAGGAGGCCACAGGGGCAGGGAGGGTCCCTGAACCACGGGAGCAGCTGGCTAGGTGACGCACACCCTGTAGATCACGACAGAGCCTCCTGCCTGCACAGCCCTCCCCTCCACCCCCAGGCCTCCCCCATCCCGCACACAGGCACCCTGCGGAGCAGCCCCATGCAGGGTAGCCCATGGGATCCCTCCTAGCCCAGAGGACCTGGAGCCCGTCTTGGATTAAAAAGGGAGGGGGTGGGGGGCAGGAGGAGCAAAGCTTGGCAGCCCAAGAGAACAGCAAGTGCCGGAGATCCAGGTACCCCGTGCAAGAAGAGCGGACCTCGGGCGAGCCCAAGGCAGGGGGTAGGACGGAGTCTAGCAGGGGTGGGGAGCAGGGCCAAGGGCAGGAGGCAGCACTAGAGGTCTGAGTGTGATCAGGACGCCCAGAGGGGAAGGCTGGACAGCACAGTCACCATTGCAGTGAGAGCCTAAGGCCCCGATTCTGCTCCTCCTGAATTCAAACCTACCTCTTTTGGAGTTAAAGGCCATTAAAGCTTAGCATCGAGGACTGTGCAGTGCAGGACAAGGCGGGGGCAGTGCCACAGCAGGCAGGGTGCCAGGCTGGCCACCCCCAAGGCTCCCCCATGCCCACAAAGCCCCCGTTCAAGGAAAGATATGAAGTATGCAGTAAAAAGACAAAGCCAGAAGCAGTCCCAGCCTCTGCAATCTCCTCCCTGTGATATACAGTGACCCTCACAGCCGTCTTTGGTTAAGAAATGTTCGTGGATTTACCCGGTATGTGGAGATCCATCTGTGGGTGGGTGATTAAAAGAAGGTAGGGAGCATGAGTCCAGAGAAGTCCCCGCCCTGCCGTGACTATGCCGGGACAGGGCCCCAACGTGGCCCGCAGGGGCTGGGGTCCTGCAGCAGGGTCCCTGCTCACGCGCCTATCCCTACAGGGTCTGAGCAAGGACAAAGTGCACAGAGACCTCCAAAAGCCACAACAGAAGCAGAGCACCACCCCCTGGCTATGGCTATACTGCACCCGTTCCACCCCCAACCCCAGCAAGAGCCCCACACGCTGCATTCGCTCCAACACTGAACAAGGAGACACTTAAAAACCTGGCTGTCTGGGCGGGAGCTGGGTGGATGGAGGACCCCAACAGCACAGCACGACGATGCAGAGCTGAGCCAGGCCAGGGTGGAGGGATGTCCGGGTGCTGCTGAGGCTGCTGGAGGGTGGCAGCCTGGCGAACCTTGTTGCGGGGTTTCAGTCCCTGTGCTGGGGGCAGC